TATAATGAAGAAACTATAAGCAGGAAATAAGAGTAAATGGTGAAGCAAAAATATAACATATCATTGAAACATTAAAAAAAAGAAAAAAAAAAGAAAAAGAAATAACGTCTGACATAAAAGCAAAAACAAATTCTAGTTTGTGTATTTGCTCAGCCAAGGGCATAAAAGAAAGCCAGAAGGAAGAGAAACATGGCACAGGGACGTGCATATGTAACAATTAAAGGTTATTTGCGGAAGGATACCTAGACCTCCAGAAGTCATCCCAAGAAACTGTTTGGCTCTTGCAATTGCATCAGCAGGGAATATGAGTCCCACATTCGGATCATCCAGTAAAAATGGAGCTTGACAGAGAGCAATGACCTGAAATGAGTCCAGTATTTTTACATGTATCAAGTAACCATTTCTCAAGCATCATATAAAAACAGGCATTGTGCAACTGTTACAAACCTGGCGTGGAAATGTCAGTGGTTTCTGCCCAAGGGCATGGGGGTTACCAACATTGGTGAAGATGATCTGCAGAACAAGTGGAACAATGAGATAGTATATCAGCGCTCTGAATGAATTAAATGGTCTTCATTCAAACGATTCCTCAAAACATTAGGATCTACAAAAATAAGTCTCCTGGTCATAAGACATTAGGATTCTTGAATAGATTAATTACTATTATTGTGTAAGTTGTTTAACTGTAGCATCACATCATAAGAGTTTGTAGTATCTCAGGATTATTTAGATGAGGAATTTATAAATTTGTATGCATTTCATGGGATTCAAACAGGTTTTGGCAAAAATCTAGGCTCGATACGGATGACTGGTTCAATGCTTCAAATCTTTGCAAGCTGCCTAAAGTTGGCCTATAAATTCATGATGACAAAGTTTTGATAGACAGCAATTCCTCGTGCTTGTTGGAATATCAAACTATGAGTGACTCAGAGGGAAAATGGACCATAATACCTATTTTAAAAGTATCTAGTCAATTTCAGTACATGATAATCTATAAAATGTCACCAGGAGAATATTTTATAGGAAAAGACAAGAACAATTTGACAACTTATACCTTTTTGCCTTCCTTCTGAAGCTCAGAAGCTCGAAGGTACAGCTCACCTCTGACAGCATATTGGCACTTCTTGACATTTTCGTTCAGATTCTCATAGTCTAATGCCTTAGAAGACATTATAAGGAATTAAAATTTTCCTCTTAGTTAAAATTCCAAGCAAAGTGATGCCCGTACTGGCAATGTAGCACCTCGGCTCAAAACCTACAATTACATGAAGAAACTATAATCAGTAAAGGGAACAATGACTGCAAAGCAACAAAACATAGTGGCACCAAAAAACCAAAGAGAAATGTATTGGTAAATATGGATACGACATGTGGACAACTCGAAAACAGCACAACTCTAGGCAGCTCCAAGTCATCAAAGTTCGCTCCAGCAAGAGGTTAGAAATAACCTCGGAAGTCTGCTCCGAATCTATAACAAGCTTACCCTGAACTCGTCATGCCGCAGTAAGATAGTCTTATCCCACAATCAAACATTGGGTCAGTTGACAAATGTATGGATAGGATAAGCATCTAGACTTGCCAACTCAGGAATATACAGGATCCTCTACTGCGGGTACAAGTCAACAGTGGTGAATTTATAGCTAAATATGGGGCATATGAACCCGTGGTCTCGTCAACGTCGTAAAACTAGGTAATTAATGTATGTATTTTCTAAAACTGGTACGGTATTATTTGTTGGCACCCATGCTACAAGAAGGCTAAATGGTGCACTTGATTGCATGTTGAGTTATTTGCCTAAAGGAGGATTAATTCCCACTTTGTACATTTTTTTCTTTCTTTTTAAAGTGGTGCAACCATGTTTAGAAATCCTATGTTCGCCTCTACAAATCAGTATGAGTTACATACAGGATGTGTGTATAACGATCATAATGAGGACCGAAATATTAGGAATTAGCTATTCTGGTGTTGTGCTATAACAATATCCCTTATCCCCACTTGTATCTCATCTGATTTTTACGACTACTATTGCTTAAATTGTAACAAGCTATTGTGTTCTTACTCAGATACATTGTTCATTAGCTAAACCACGAGTTCCCAATAAAAATTCTCTTTCTCTCTTGCTATTTTATCATTTACACACTTCTCATTGTATGTCTTATATCATTTTAGTCAAGTTCATAATATCGGGAGGTTAACTATTAGTTAGATGATTCACTTGCCTTTGACACTACTCTATTTGTTACATCTTTTTATCTATGATTGTAGCGCTCGAACCAGCTTTCGCGCATCTTGACTAATTCTACGGAATACCTGTCACCTCCACCAACAGTAGATACCACCAAGTAACTCTATCCTCCAAGGATAGAACAAATGTGAAATCACCTAGTGTTTTTTGTTATTGGTCTGGAATTTGAACCCAAGACCTCATGGTTCTCCCCCTCACTAAATTTAATTGTTAATCTTTAATCCAGATTTTAGGTTAAACAAGAAAATACAACAAGATTAAGAATACAACTAGCTACTATTCTGACCAAAACACTCAGCCCATTGATTATTATACCAACAACACTCTGATTTAAAAAAAAAAAAACTCAAATACAATCAAACATATTATACACAGGAAAAGTGCCAACCCAATTACATATAATGTGATTTGGTCAAATCTTTCAGTAGGGTCATTCATGATTTCAACTACAACAGAAATCAAAAAAGAAAACTGCTAATCATAAAATCAACAGTGCAAATGACCACACACACCCCAAATCAAATTCTACATTAACAAATTATAAATCAAATTTAACAAATCCACGCTCGAGAATGTGACCTAGTAATCAATAAAAATTGGACCGAAAGCATATTGTGGGCATATATTCACCACTACACAAAATCAAAAGACGACAAAAAACGCCTCCATTACACACACATAGCAGATGAAAGAGAAAATCTATATATTATATCGATCCAATTAAAACACACAAAGAATATGCAGAATCAAAAAAAAAAAAGAAAAAAGGAATGGGCATGACTTACACAGTTAGGAGGCAAGTGTTGTGAGTCAGTTTGGTGAATGGTGAGTGAGAAGTTCAATTTATTTTTTATTGGGGTGTAAAGGAAAAGGGGATAATTATAGTATATTATTATTTGTATATGTGGCCAAGTGTGAAGACATAAATTCCAAGATGAAACCACAGCCACTGAACAGTTTGTAAAGATTGGATTAATGTGCAAAATTTGATTGAATCACAAATTTGGAGATAAAGCAAATAGTGGTGCTCCTTCAAACTATACAGTTGTGGTTTTGCTTCTTCATATCCACTCACAACATCACACTTTATTTTATTTTTTTAACTAAACTCAAAAAAGGACTAAAACTTCATAATCATAACAGGAAATATTATTGTACTATTTGAAATGGAATTTTAGTATACGTGTATTTAAGACAAAAAGGGGAAAAAATGAAGTGTTTTTTTAAAATTGATTTATTTGAGGTGTTTTTAAGTTAAAAAATTTTTTTATATAGTTTTGAAGTGTTTGAATAATGTTTTAAAAACTTATAAACACATTTTGAAAATTAAAATAATAAAAATAAATTTAAAATCCTAAATTATAAATTTTTTAACTTATAACTTTTTATTTTTAAGTTATAAGCCAAAAATCGATTCAAAATTGATTTTTCAGAATGTGGACACCAACTACATAGACTGGCACTATTTTACAAGTGCTTGTATTTGATTGAGCTTCCACACTTTGTTGTATTTTATTAGGTCCAAACATGTAAAATCTTTTTTTTTTTAGAGTTGTACATATCACGAATTAAAAACCTAACAAAAATAAGAGTAAAATTTGCGACTTTTATTTCATATTTTATTTGTGAAATTATACTTTGATAAGTTAGTATAGTGAAAAATGATTTTTGGAATGGGGATTCAACTTCCCCAATGTTGAAGCACTAGGACTTTGAATGCAATTATCTTGCAAGCCCATGTCAATATTGACTTAATTTTACAAGTTCTTTTCTCTTTTTTCCACTAGTAATTGTAACTTATGTATATCGATGATAGTTTAAAAATCATATTTCAAATTTAACACTTATATTCAAAATAATTATTAATGGGGGTGGACTAAGTAATCTAAAGTGAAAAACTATTCAAATTTCATCTTTTGAAAAAAATCTCTTGCCCCATGTACTTTATATTTATCGGGTCAAATTTGTAAAATAATAAATAATTAAAAAAAAGTTGGATAGAACTCTCAATAATTTCAAAAAGCAAATAACAATTATTCACTATAATTAATTATTGATACGTGAGATAATCCTAGGAAAGATTAAAAATTGATTTTTGAATAGTATCGTGTAAAAACAAATAAATAAGAAAAAAATGAAAAAGGCAAGGCGATAGTATATAGTATAATATCAAGGGACAAAGATCAAGTGATAGCAATCAAATGAACAATAAAAGTTAAACCTCTTTTGGAAATAAATTCGAATTAAATTTTTTGAATAACTGAGTAAAAATCAATGAAAATATATTTAAGTTAAAAAAATTTGAATGTCTGAACAGAAATCGTATTGTTTGAGTATAACCCAAAGATTTTTTTTTATCATAAACTGTTTTGTATTTTTATATATATACATATATATATATATATATTATCATTTGCTAATTTTCTATACCCATTTTCTTTTCTTTTCTTTTTGAAAAAATATAAATAATCATTTGCCACTTTTCAATTAAAAAAATTCAATGTTTTTATCTGAAATTAATTCGTAAAACATAAAGCCGAGAGTGGAATTCTCGGAGACCACTGAACCCTCCATCTCATTATGCTATAGGATTCTTAGGATATCTATATGTATATTTTATTTGATATTTTAATACGAATATAAAATGTGCAGAAACGCGAGTGAATTCGTCAGAATCAAATTTACTTTTTATCAAATGGCTGGAATCATCTTCAATAACAATAGAAAAGAAGTTAATCTACATAGATCAGTGGTTTTAATTAATACAAGTCGAAAATTCAGAAGCAGCGATGACTGGCCAAAGATGATCATCATACCCAAAATTCTGCACATTATTCAAATTGTTTACTGTCGCATTATCTCTCAGAAAATCAATTTCTTTGCCCCGATCATTAGCAGATTCATCACCACCAATCACCCAAAACTCAGCCGCCATAGCAATTTCTGTTTCTTGATTATACGCGTTGCTGTTTTCAAGTCGATTATGGGTTTCTTGATTAGCAAGTAAACTTTCTTTCGCACTTGAACTTGATCCTCCAACAACCCCATTCCCATAATTCATCATCTTCAGGAATTCAATTCTTCTATCCACAGCTTCTAATTTCGAATTCAATTTCACCAACAAACTTTCATTCGACTCTCTAAACACATCATTAAGCCACTGATTTTCATCATCATCGCAAAACAGAGCATGATTCTTTTTCGACTTTTTCTCAAAACACCCATCATCGTCAATTCGTTTTCTCTTGCCGTGACAGAGATTTTCTTTGTAGGATTGAATAATGGGGTTGAAATCAGTGGGATTTTCAGGCCATGTATCGACTTTTCCATTAGGATCAACAAGAATGACACAAGCTTTAACGTCACAGAGGATTGAAAGCTCTCTAGTTTTTTTCTTGATAGTTTCTTTTTTCTTCTTGTAATTTAGCATGTTGCCCTTATTCTTCTTCTCCATTGTGTGCCAAAGAAGAAAGAAAAGAGAGTAAGCTCAGGGGTTTATATTTTGACAAAATAGTCAAAACGCTTTAACTACACGCTTTGGGTCTTATTACCCCCTTCAACAATTTTAATTATATTTTTATTTTATATTGCTTTTCTGTTTTCTTTCCGTTTTCATTTTATTTTGTTTTTAAAATTTTCAACTTTTCTTACAATTTTTTTTTTATTTTTTCTTTCCATCATTTTTAAAATTGCTAAAGCTTTTAATAATTTCAATCAAAATTAAAATTTAAAATCCATTCTAAAAAATTAAATTTTAAAGTCTCCAAATATTGAAAACTATCAATTTTTTTTGTGATCATCACTTATTTTTCGTAGAACTAATTCATTGCATATCCTACCGAACAACATTAAAGGATAACTTTTTCTTTTTTATTATTATCGACCCTTTTTCAAAAAAAATTATTTCTTCAAACAAGAATCATGATAAATTTTCAGTTAATGTTATGAAGGTTTAAGAAAAAATTTCACTCAATAACTTTTAATTATAAGCTTGCTCTGCTAATGTGAAAAATCATTTGGTCGAAGTAAAGAAAAAAAAGAGAAGGAGGATAATATTAAAATGAAAAGTAGAATAAAAAACACACAATATTTTCTTAATCCTTAAAAAGGTGAATGACGTGGCAGACGTGTGCCACTTATTTTTTGATACAAATTTGGGTGATGAATTTTGGTAAAGTGTAAGTGTATAATAGAGAATACGATAATAGATGAGGAGACTTTTAACTATTTTTTCTTTTTATAGTTTTTAAGTAATAAACTTTGATGTGTGAGATTGATTAAGTAAGGATATTTTATTAAATATATTTTTGAAATTAGCTAATATTTCTCAATAAATATAAAAATAAAGTGAATTCCAAATTTTGTACCAAATTTGACCCCTAACATAATTAGGTACACTTTGCTAGTAGCAGTATATGAGTGTTGCTTTCAGCATGATCTAAGCTAGTATATGCAGCAAACAACTAAAATTTTGAAAAAATGGCGGGATCACATTCACGGTCACCGATTACGGCGGCAGAGCAGGCGGCGCTGCCTTCTTCAATGTCAATCGCTACCGTAACCAACCACTGGGAAGTTCAATATGCTCGGTTCATTGTCTGTCCAGCTTCTCCTCACTCCTCTCATTCGTCTCTCATTTCTCTTTCTTCCATCGGACGGAAGGACGGTAAACGCGGCAAATGGATCTCCTCTGCCTCCATCGTTTCTCTCAAACTCCGCACCAGTAGCTTTGATCCTAATGGCGGTTTCATTCTCGTCGTCTCTCTCGGTGATAGAATCCTCGTGAGCACTTCCAATTCTGTTATTATTTCTTCTAATTGATTGATATATTTGTCGACTGAGTTTCTAAAGGATGAAGTGAATTAGTAAACGTACAATTTCGAACTTATTTCCATTATTTGATCTAAAATTTTGTTTTAATTTGATGTTGCTTTGAATTTACAGTAATTTATAGTCCTTGCAGTCGCTACAACTAATTTAGTTTTGTTTCTGTGTTTCATTTTTTTATTGATAAAATTTGTTTGCTGAGTTTCTCTAAGGATGAAGTTGAAATCGAAAATGAAAATGCATAACTTCTGAATTTGAATGTTAGTTGTCAGCTGATTGTGAACTTATGATGCAATTTCTTTTAATTGGCGAAAACATTCCATTATATAGTACTATTAGTAGTTAATTTTAGTTTGAATTTGTTGATCATTAGATCTTAAGATTTGATTTATTTCTTCTAGCGGTTTCTTCCTTGTGTTGGTTCTCGCTCACAGAGTTAATGTGAGCATCAGCTGCTTTCCTGCTGATACTCCTTGTTATTAGGATGGATGCATCTGTTTGCTGAATTTCTGAAGGATCTCGTTGAATTTGAAAATAAACATGCATAATTTTCGAGTTCCGATGTTATTACCATCATGAAATTTACGATGTAATTGTTTATTTCTAACTTTAATCTATCTTTAAATTGTAGAGTCAATTAATTTTTGCATGAACTTGTTTACACTACGTGATCTCACTTTTACTGTGTTGGAGAACTGGTACTGCTTCTGTTTAATGCAAAAGTTGTGTTCTGGGTTTGTTTAAAATTGGTAAAATAATCACCGCAATTGCTTGAACGAAGGCAATTTCTTCTTGCTATGTTAGGAAAATTAATGATGCTTCCTTTTTCCAGGAGGGAAAGTTATATTGCTGATAGTAAAAATATCACGGGCACAGAGAAATGCAGAAGCAATCATGTATAGGTTTAAGTGCATCATTGAAACTATTGCAGGAGGGCCAATGCTGGTTTTTCTTGAATACTAGAGGCCTAATGTATTCTTGGTGTACTAATTCTCTGTTTGGTAGCATAAGATGTGGCACAGTTGTTACCTCTTGTTTGTCAGATAAACTTGTCTTACACGGCTTGAAGAGTTCTTTCATGCCGACCACAAGCATTATTCTTTTACATTATCAGCTTTCTTTTCTTAGCCATCTTACAGTTCTACAAGTAATGGATGTTACTTGCTGTGGTTCATAAACTCTTAGATGACGTGACAGTTAGTAGGTTTTCTGCATGAGAAGCTAAAAGAGAAATCCCATGCTTCTGACTTTTTTCTGGTTTCATTGTCTACTTCTCACAGGAAGAGCATTACATTTCACGGTTGATGTTCTCATGGCCTCAGGTATCATGTGTATCAGGTTTTCCAGCAAGAGGAAGTAGAGCCATCCTCGTGAGCTATAGGGATTCTGTTGGTCAGGTGAGCATTTGTTTTTTTTTGAAGTCATTGTTAATTATACATCAAGCTTTCTTTAAACCCCTATTCTTTTCAGCTAAAACGTCTTCTTTCTAGGAAAGATACACTAGACTGCTAGAGATATAACGAGATTAAGAAATGGATTAAGACAGAAGTAGCTCAAGAAAAGTAAAATTTAATTAGGTGAGGTGAACAATAGCTGAAGTTATAATAAGAAAAGGAGAAAGGCAAATAGTTGTGAAATACAAATATTGCATGGAAGAAACTTGAATTAGCTAGTTTACCATGTCTATTAGTTATTATAGTAAGATGATTGTCCTCAACAAGTGCATAATTTGACATGAGAGTGGTGATATCCTTTGCTTAAAGAATTTGAACCATCTCAGATCTGGGCTCTGTAACTTAAGTAATGCATTTTATCCAAGATCTGTACCATCTAGTACGTAAGATAATAGACAGTTCTTCAGAAATAGCCTGGGAAGTTCAGTTGACATAACTGTTGCAGGCATTGAGTCGTTCACTCAAGCTTCCTAGTTGTAATGTATGTTTTAACTTGCAAATTTAGGATATTATTCTATCAAAGCTTTGTCATACTGGACAATTCGAAACAGATAAGTTGATTGTCAGTCTCCTCATTTCCAAATCCTTATGAAGGGAGTTATATGCATGGTTCTATGCGTAAAACCATTAATGTTGAACTTCAATTGTCCTTTTGTTTTTGCAGATTCAGAAATTCATCCTGCGGTTTTTGACAATCTATGAGATAGAGAATTTCATGAATGTTTTAAAGGTACTTAAATCTCTATGATGTTCTCTATGAGTTTCTCTCACACAGTGAATTTTGTTTCCTAAATAATTTACAACTATTTTCCTTCCTATGCTTTTTGTATGTGACATTCTTAGGGAAAGTTGGACAATGCAAATCCTCAACTCATTCCATGTGCTGAATTCGATTCAGCAATATCTTCCCAATCTGAGTTTAATCCTTTGGATGGAGCTTCACACAGGTGACATATACCACAGTTTCTTTAACACATAATCCCATCTCAAGATATGTAGAGTTTACCCGTATTAAGTTATTAATGTATGATTTACTGAAGGTGTGGTTTTCTCAGGGAGAACAAAGGATGGATATGTGCAGCTTCCGGTGACTCTGCCCCCAATTACATGCCACTGAACTTGGCACCTGAATTTTCTCAAGATTCACATAAAGAGGAAACGAAACTAAGTCGTGAAGCTGATGAGATTCTTTCAGCTTTTCCTCCCAGTTTCACGTCCTTCTTGACGAACTGCTGCCCTGAAATTGATCAAGGTTCTTAACACCGGTCAACTAGTCACAATGTTCTCTACTTTCTGATTCAAAACTAGTACCATTAATAATTGTTAACTGGATGCAGTTGCTGCACAGTCAAGTATGACGAAGGAGGTTGACCTCAAAGACCAAATTGCGGTATGTTATCTGTTTAGATCTTGTATAAAGATCAGCTAAAGTTCTGCTTTCTCATAATTTTAAATGGCTGGCTGGCTGGGTCAGACTTATAGAGCTAACTATGTTCCAATGTATGATCCACCTGCTTAATTCTTGCAGAAATATCTTGAAGATTCTTCATTCCAAGGTATGTCTTCAAATGCTAAAGGCCCTTTTCCAGGTTTTGGTCGGTGAAACTTGCCCATCATTTGATATTTCATTCTTCTTTTTATTCAACTACTTTTTCCTTTTACTTGATGGGAAAGCCTTAAAGGAATTGTTCTTGAAGTGATCATCGAACCATTGTGAAAATTGCTGCTTAAGTAATATCTACACGAGTTGTAAATATGATCACTCGCAGTTGCATAAAGCAGCCATATGCAGATCTGATTTGACTGGTTTAGAGTACTAATTGGCCAAATTCCTGATATTGACAGATATGCTGGTCAAAATTGAGAAAGTCATCCATGAATTGGGAGATAATACAGTACTGTAGCTGCACCAAGAGGCTGACATATATATATACACAAATCATAGCTTGGTTTCCTCTTAATTTTTGAAACATGGGAATTCTTTTCGTTTTCTTTTGCAATTTACTTATATACTACATCAAAACAAGCAAACAGTTGTAACTTGTACTGGACAATTATTCCTGTGAATTGTTGTTTTGAAGCAATTAGATTAGCTATCGAGTAAAATGGAGAAGTTCAAAAAATTGTGATTTCATTTGAGTCAAAAAATAGCTTTGTACATGGTGTTTAATTT